GAAGGATACTTCTTCTAAGCGCAAGCTGCACCTTTTCTAGTTGAAACGCGTCTTGCTTTTTGAGACCAAAATTTTTGAAGCTGTACAGGGACGAGAAAAGCGAAGAGGAGTTTTTAAGCACATCACAACTTCAAAAACACTGAATCTGGAGCAAACTTTTGTGAAAAGCGTGAGAAATTGGAGACAGAGTTACGGCCATTATGTTTCATTACTGTGGTTTATGATTCCCTCGTGGTAAAGACTATGTTACGCTCTTTTTTCCTGTCCTCCCAAAGGAGTCGTTTAGTCAACAGCAATGGTAGAAAATATCAAGAATAAAATGTTTTCCACCTTTCTTTTGAACGTGATGATTCTATGACTATTAATTTTCCTGTGGCTTAAACTGATCTTATTAGCGCTTATGCTGTAACACATTATTTTCGACATCATAGCATTCGCCGAAGACAAGCCACTTTGTTTACCACATTATGACGATTATGGATTGTGTATCAGCGCTATTGTCTATACGCCTGACTTTATAAGCTTCTAACTTTGCCAGTTTTTGGTCTTTTTAAGCCAAATTCTGCCCTCTGTCAAATCTTGCTCCCCATAACTCTTCAAAAAAAAACATAAAGTTTGCTCGGTTCATTCTTAGGTGATCGTGCATCCCAAAAAATGTTCCCATAAGAACCATCAATTAGCTGCCTTTCGATCTAACACGTTAACTCCAGCAAATTTTGAGGTGCTTATTCGAAATTACCATGTTCAAGTGATCGAAAGACACGCAGAATGATGCTTCATATGGGAACAATTCTGGGGGATGCACCATTTGGTGTGTGAAGCGTCTCACGCCACGATTGTGAAGTTGAGCTAAGAGGAATTTCGCGCAGTAGTATCCACTTCGCTGTGCGCCGATTTCGAAAGAAGAGAAGAAACACCGTCCCTAAACGAGAGGCCAGCAACTGCGCTCAATGCGAAGATGGCGAAACGGTTCCTAGAAAGAATCCGAAAGAATGCATGAACCACAATGCGTAACAAGCCAGTTAGACATTCATTCTACTATTTTTTCATTGCTATAAAACACTGCCAACAAGAAGCAAGTTTGTTTTTAGCAACTTTACTGTCATTCTGGCGCTTATTTGTTCATCAGTGCATCATCTCTGCTTTGCAGAGGCTCGCACTGGTTCTACAATCCAAATGCTACTCATTCTCGCATAATGATGACACTGAAACTCACCGCGCACCCGACTATGGCGAAAAAATGTAAACAACTACTTATTCTGAAAGCTTTCTCATGTAAGATCGGTGATTTCGCGTGGATGAAACTTTTCGCAGAAGAACGAACTAAATTTGAACAGGTTTTCATTTTTTCCTGGTTCTATCAATTGTCGTATAAATGATAAACACCATTAGCTGCGTTTCAAAAATCTCATGAGATGCTCTGGGAAACCTTGGGAAATTGACTACTTATGCAACCAATTTTTCTTGGCGTCTTTTCAATAAAGTAGTAGACTTTAATCACTTTTTGGACCTAAATTCATTGTATATTTACTTGCCATATACATCCATGAGTCTGCAAAAAGTGACTACGGGCCCAGTTTTGAGGGCCAGAAGCCAACTGGATCCGTTTAATGCGCAATTTCTGAGCGATCCACTCAAAATCTTGCATGTTGGATTTTCATGACAGTAGCATGCGCTGTGCAAGATTTAAGCTCAGAACATTGATTAGATTCCGTACGAATTTCGTAACAGACACACTCACATATACAGACAAAAACACGTAAACACCCCTTAGCCCGTTATTAGAAGTAACCAGTGCGTCACCTCTGCTTCGCAGAGGCTCGCACTGGCTTTTTTATCTATATGCCATACTCTCCGCATAACATGGCATTGAAACATACCGCGCAATGCCCGCCTTCACGAATGAGACGTAAACAACCACTCATTCCGTAAGCTTTTTCGTGTGAGATCGGTCTTCTGTGTGAATAGAACCTTGGAAGATGAAAAACATATGCAGAATTATAACAGTTTTGAATTTTTTCATGGCTTGGTAGTCTCCATAAAAATAATGTCCACTGCGAGTTACATCCCTGTGCATAGATCTTCTCAAAAGCTCAGGTAAAAACCTGGTAACTTGACCATTCACGCAGATAATTCGTTTTGGCGCCTTTTTCGTGTGAAAATAGAATTCTATCACTTTTTTGGGCTAAAGATCATGGCTTGCACATTCACTTGCCAAACCATATCACGACTTTGCAATAAGTTGTAATACGGACCCAGTATTGGGCGTCAGATATTAAGTGGATCCGTTTGCGATTTTTGAGGGATCTACTCGATGGATCTAGTCGTGCTTTGGCATAATGAATCTCGATGGTAGCAGTGCGTGTTGTGCAAAAAATTGCGGTTTGAAACCTTGTCTGTGACGTTCTGTGAATTTCGTTATAGACAGACACACACACACAAAAGCACGTAAACATCCTATATAAGTCATGATGATCTTATTTTTACTTTTTATGCATAACATTCCTTAGGCTTTGGCCATACTTTGCCTGTGTTATACTTGTTACAGTTTACCAGTGTTACATAGTGTTACTCGTGTTAACTGTGTTACTAGTGTTACTAGTCTTACCCGTGCTACTAATGTTACTAGTGTTACTCGTATTACTCACCGGTCAATGAAACTGCGTGTTTTAGATTAAGGCTTTATTTTCATTTCACTACACAAAGTAACACGAGTAACACTGGTAACACCGGTAACACGAGTAACACGGGTAAAAGATTTGGACTAGCCAGATGCCAAAGCCTTAGCATCTGGCTAGTCCGAATTTACGGTCTGTGCGTAATAGCGGCTCCTAACGGCGTTATTCCTTCCTCTGAACATTATGGTCTATAAGTTCTTCCCAGATACCCTCTGTCGTATTTGAGCGACCCGATTCGAGCAGGTGGGTATCGCATGGCCTCGCCTGGTCCTGACGGCGCATTCGCAAACGTGTTTTCTGATCATTTCCCATGCTTAAGGAACGATCGAAGCTCGCATTTGAGCCCCAGTAAACGTTTGAAGTTCGCCTCTGAGCATTTTCAGCTTGAAACACAAGCGCGGTGCTGGGCCCATGCGAAGCAGTCGCGCGGGACTCAAGCTGCTCTAGTCACGCTCACTCCAGATGAGACAGAACGTACCACTATTTGCTTACGTTGCATGCCTTCGCCTGTCTTAGAGCGTTCTTTCCTAAAGCATTTCGAACAATGGTTCCCGTGCCAATGCGTCAAAGGCAGCCAACGGGTATGTTCTTGGTACGCTTCATAATAATCTCAGTACAGAGACTGTGGTCAACAGCTGTTTGAAATGCTTTTTCTTAAACAAGTGCGTCACCTCCGCCTCGCCGATGTTCGCACTGGCGTTCTATCCGTATCCTTTCTCATGTTCACATAATGATGACTTTGAAACTCGCTACGCGATGCTGAACATCATAAATGAATCGTAAACAACTGATCATTTTTGAAGCATCTCAACGTTCGGTAATTTGACAAGTTACACTATCTCGCAAAGGAACACCTGCTTTGAATGGATTATCGAAATTGTTTTGGCTTGGTAGTTGTCATAAGGATAATAGTGACTGTGAGCTACATTTCCCTGCAAAAATCTCTTCAAATTTCAATTTTAAACCTTGACAAAAACTATCTACACGATCACCACTTCTTCGTTTTGCTTGCCAAAAGTCGCTTGGACACGTTTGACGCGCAAATTTAGAAGGATCCGCTTATCGAACCGACTCGTCCTTGTGCATAGTGGGCCTATATGCTGGTGCGGTATGTTATGCAATATTGTAGCTCGATAGGTTGGCTGCAGCTCCCTCTATGAATTTCGTGAGACAGACAAACACACATACACACGCAAAAAAAGACAGACGCCTAGCGCTTTATTATAAGTCATGGTAAGCTTGGATAAGCACTAAAAATAATCAAAATTCTGCCGCTCCGGTATACGGCAGCACATGTTTTAAGAAGATCAGGTTTGCGCGGCGTCAGTAATAGTCAAAATACGATTATCATTGCATTTTGAAATTAAAATAGTACATTACATATGCATCCCTCACAAGTTGTCTTGTAGGTACGATCATATCAAAAATGCTTTCTTTGAGCGCATTTGCTGCCGTCTGATTTTTAAAACGAAGTTCGATTCACACCAGAATTCGCATATCCTTGAAAGCAGCTCTATCCAAATCTTCATCTCTAATGCTTCAATCATTTTATGCTTCTACATGGCCTTGCTTTGGAATATGAGGTGCAGATTACATAACATTGCCACGTCGCAGAGTTTTGAATCAGACTTCGCGACATACGCAAAGTGCGCACGTGTGCATAAAGATACGTACGCCGCGCAGTCTGGCTCCACCCGAAACCTGCATCTGGACTTTCAAGGCAGGCGTGGCTTGATAACGCTTTGATTTCCAGGTCCATTTTTTCTTCCGAGGCCACGCTAGAGACCTAGCCAACGCAGATGCCCTACTGCTTGTAGACTGTATTCTCACGGTGCCTTCACACCGCGGGCAACCGCCGCTAGGAGTCCGTAGCAGCCGCAGCGTCAGCAGCCCGTAGCGGCCGCCACAGCCCGTAGCCGCCACTGGCAACTTTTGTCATTAGAAAATCGCAAATTGGGTGTAGGGTATTAGAATCGGGGAAGGAGGGAGCGCTCTGAGTGGTTGGTGACGAATTAGTAACCTGCCGATGCGAAGTTTCAAAAAGCTAATGTTTCGCCATCTCTGCGCTAGTTTGTATAATATCATGCCTTATGCGCTATCAAAGAGAACCAAATTGCTTCGCTACTAAGTATTACTTTTTGAATCGTGGTGTATCAAAGGCACTGTGCTAGGGTGGCAATCGTATTTCCGGCAATTTCTCTCGCTACAACAACAATTGAAACAGTTTTTATTCGAACATTGCATTTTTTTACTTGGAGCGCGTCATCCTTTTTGGAACCAATACTTCTTACCTTTGACATCATATTTGCCACTTCTTGCGTAATGTGCACTCACATAGTTACTTGCAAAGTTCACTGTCTAAGTGCTTCACAGGTCTTCTTTGGGGCGACGTTTGAAGGTGCGGAAAATACGTGTAATGTTGTTGGTGGACATTTGGCATCAATCCACAACTTTGAAGAAAACAGATTCGTAGCCGGTAATGCTATTTTGCTGTCAATTGTGCGACAACATGATTTTCCAGAGTTGGCAAAAATTGATAAACAAACCACAAGTCCGAATGATTTTACTTGGATAGGACTACAAGATGTGGCAAACAGCAAGAATTGGACGTGGACTGACGGCACAAAAGTTGATTTCGAATTCTGGGGTCCAGACAGTCCGAAACGCGGATTGGGAAACTGTGTGCACGTATGGTGTTTTCATATGCAAGGAGGTTGAATGGCTAGCAACGATTCTTTCTAAAACTGAAGAGTTTCCTCTGTCCAAAAACGGGATTAATGGTTTGAACATGCCATTTCTGATGTTTTATTTTTGATTTTGGAGTAGCTTTGTCAAAAGTGGATGGAGTGACAATGTGCAATAACGTTTTGAAAAGAAGTCTTCCTTTTTGTAAAGCTGCTTTTACTCCACTTTGAGAAATCTTATTAATTGAAAAATCTAGAATTAGATTACCATTTTCCTTCTATCAGAAAAATTAGTATAAACTGCTGCCTCGAAATAACAAATCGAAAAACAACCCTCTTCAGTGAAGCCTTCACGAATATGGAGATAGAGAGCGCGTGTCAGAAGGGAACAAACGTATCCAACAAACTGTGAATACGCCGGCCTGTTCTGTGATTAATAGCGTCAAAAATAAGTAAATCAAAAAAAATTGAAAAGGCTGCTTCCAAAAACCGTCATTGCACTTATTCACTTATGTTGATGCAGCTCTTCCAAAAGCTTGAAATGTTTTGCACATGTTTTTACAATAGGCCAACATCGAATAGTCCCAGATCTTTTATAGGTTTTATTTGATGGATGTGACTCGCATAAGAAAATGCAAAATTAGTTAGCATTTATATATGTTTAACTAAGCAGCCGCCAGCACCTGAAATTATTCGGTGCAGTTTTTCAACTTTTTCAAAACTATGCATTCAAGCTCAAAAATTTTAGTTTCTTTGCAGAAATTCCTGTTGTTGAAATTTTTGAATGTTCAGCGCTACTTCTGCTGGATCTAGCCATAAAGTTCGAGCCACAATGTTTTAGCTTTAAGTGAACATTAAATAACGTGTAGGTAGAGCAAATGGAATACTGGTCATTTAATTCTCTAGCTGATCATCTCACAGAAATGTTCGACTAGCCGGCAGTTGCCACGCAATGACTTAAAAACATATTTTTTTTAGCAAATAAAGTGTTTAAATATAGTAGGATCAATAATCCAGCACCAGCGGCTCCAAAATTTGAAAGAAAGAGGCAGTACCTTTATTTATCCAGCATGCTTTGGTCCTAATGGAATAAAAGTTTGACAATTCGAATGGAACATTTGAATATATTCGCATCAGAAATTCGAAAGAGAAATTTTCCATTTTTGATAAAATTCGAAAACTTGGTTCATTGGAGATCAAATTTTCGAAAAATTTTCTTCGAAAGTTTTGTTCGAGTGCGTATTCGATTATTCGATTTCGGCGCAGATCCATACCGTCCGAGCCAGGTATGGCAGCAAATTTCAGATGTGACTGTTTTACCTGATCATTCAACATTCAGTTTTTGGACATTCGATATTCGCTCACTGAAAGTTCTGATTTTAAAATTTTATTTGGTCCTCGTTTATTCGAAATTTTCATATCTCAAATTTATCTCAAAGCACAGCAAACTATCCATTCATTACGAAACGTACTTCAGAGATAATGAGAAAATCACATGATTAAGGGATGACCATAACAGAATTATGAATGGTGGTCTTTGCTAATCTTTTGAAAGCTCGCTGGCTTAAGCGCAGTAAAGACATAAAAGTTTGAAAGAGAATGGAGCATTGAATGCGACAAAGGTTTTCCTTAATTCCTCGCTTTTTTTTCGGGATGTGACGCTTGAAAAGAGAAACTACTTGTGATATCTACTGTATTGAATGTGAAAAAAACATATGGAAACAAAATTAGGCAAGCTCCCTAATGTGTCAGATTACCCATTATTAGAGGAAAGCAGGTTGAGCGGTTACCGAACCGCGGCATAAATCGTGACCAGGGTAAAGCGGGGGGTGCGGCACGCCGCAGAGGGGGGGTCGTATTGAGGAGTCAAAAGGGGAGGGGGTCGTAGTTAGGTGATCTGATTATAGCGATAACATGATATTCGTATCACATCCATAATTAGCACGTCAATTAACCCCTGTAGACAAAGTGTGAGCGAATTCTGAAGATTCAAGATACTAGGCTACCTAAGTGAAATGGTCAAATTCCAACATGGTTAACTTTGTTTTAAAGGTGAATTAGCTATCCGTTTTTGCACTCAAGACAAAGCACTACTCCTTCTTTGTCCACCTCAGGAATCCCGCTTCAGAAGACCTCCAAACTGTGGAATTAGAAGCCAACCAAAATCTCATTTTTCCCATTTTTCGCTTTTGATGGCTGTGCTTTCACCAAATATTACTCAGAGCTAAGAAGACGAATCAGGCTCAAAACATCCCTATGGAATCTACGAGGTTTAGGCTATCGATTCATATAAATATTGTCCGCTAAAAATGTTTTTTTGATATAGTTAATGGCCTGCGGCACCCCTGCGGCACCCCTGCGGCAGCCGCAGGTTTTGAGGGGGGGTGCCGCAGGCCATTAACTATATCAAAAAAACATTTTTAGCGGACAATATTTATATGAATCGATAGCCTAAACCTCGTAGATTCCATAGGGATGTTTTGAGCCTGATTCGTCTTCTTAGCTCTGAGTAATATTTGGTGAAAGCACAGCCATCAAAAGCGAAAAATGGGAAAAATGAGATTTTGGTTGGCTTCTAATTCCACAGTTTGGAGGTCTTCTGAAGCGGGATTCCTGAGGTGGACAAAGAAGGAGTAGTGCTTTGTCTTGAGTGCAAAAACGGATAGCTAATTCACCTTTAAAACAAAGTTAACCATGTTGGAATTTGACCATTTCACTTAGGTAGCCTAGTATCTTGAATCTTCAGAATTCGCTCACACTTTGTCTACAGGGGGTATTTGACATGCTAATTATGGATATGTTGTCCATTATGTTTGACAGAGCCTTCAGGTAATACTATCTTAAGTGTATAGTTTAGGAGGGGGGTCTTATTAAGACAGCAATCAGGGGGGGGGTCGTATCCGACGGTCGAGTGCCGCACCCCCCGCTTTACCCTGATCGTGACTCATGTAAAGTTTGAAATCAGAAACTGAGAGCATTTAAACAACACAAACATCGGCCCAGAAAATTTGTGCTTCAACATTATTAGTGATTGAGCACGCAAAGATTCGTTGCACATACTGTGCTTTTTGGCTAAAATTAAGGAAAAAAAAACAAAAGCCGTAATTGGAAGCACAATTCTACTTTCTACACGCATGCATAGCTGCTATCACAAATCTACAATTTGAAGTTATGAAAATTGTTTCTATGTGCCTTGTCGTCGAAGAATATTACATAAACCACAAGAAATTGAAAAAAAAGATATATATTTTTCAAATTTCGGCTTTCTTTTCAATTTTAGCAACGACGAATATAGCAGCACACATATGAGTGGGTTGCTCCTATAGGTTTAGTACGCGAGACTGATGTCAATGATTTTTTTTAGAGAGGAGCTGCGATTCTGTTTAATTTATTATTTTAGCTCTGTATCTTGCAGTCGGATTTTAGGAAGTTCTCTGGTGGTGATCTTGCGAAGCTTGCTTCGCTTCATATAAGAATGGCATACATTTTTTGGGATTTGATTATGGTTTTGTGAACAGCAGTATAAAAACTCTCTTCAAAGCTTCTTTGAATTTTCAGCTTTTGGTATCTAGCCACATTTTCTCTAAAGAATGCCATACACCATTCAGATAAATCAAACATTTCATATTAATTGTATTATATCGTAGCGACAACCAAGGTTTTTATCAATTCTTTATTAGCTAGCGTTTTCGCTTTTATTTTTTTTTTATAAAATATGTAATTTTTATTTCGCCTTGGTTGCCGCTGCAATAACACGCTTGAATATTTTCCATGCCAAGATTTAGAAACAGCCGACTTGGAATAATTTATCACGTCAATATTGACCTGTTGTCATTGCTAATTGTCTTGAAGGATATTAACAGAAACATTGAGCATAGCAACATGTTGCAGATGATAGAGTTTTTCACGTCCAAAGCTTTGAATTTCCAAGTTTCAAAAATTCATTCAAAAAATTCATTACATGGATATCCAAATATATGCCCTCATGGAATAAGCCTGTTCGCAATTTGGCCACTATCGATAGCCATTTAAACATCACTTTTCCCTGTTTTGTTGCTTTATTCAACTTTCTTTTCCAGCTTTGTTATGATAAATTTAGGTGAACCCGAACAAACTTCATTTCAGTTGATCAGTGATGTTAGCGACGACCCGAAATGGTTTCATAAATGGGGAGACTATTCTTGCGACCAAAAAATGAGGACGTACGTATGCAAAAAAATGGCTTTACATCAGAGTTATACCCATGAGGTTGATCCAAAAGTTCTGTCGCTTTGATTTAAAAAATTCATAACTGCTTTCTATGTGAACTTTTTACTTACAAAAATATTTCCGGATAAAAAAATTGATCTGCTAGTACTTCGCATCTTTGACGGCAGGACTTGAGGGATAAAAATTCGAGTATGAGACCCACTTCAACTCTGGATTTTGAAAAATAAGTTGTTGAGAAACTGAAACGCTGCAAAAAAATTCGGAAGACATGTTCCGTACATTCCATGTAAGCTGCTCTCTCCAATAGTGCCAAGCTTGTGCTAATCGAGCTTTTCTATAAAAAGCTATGATGTTTGTGATAAATGCAAAAGACGGCAAAAGTGACTTTTTTGCATTTTTGATTTTTTGAATTTTTGAAGACTTATTTTCCAAAATTCAGAGTTCGAGTGGGCCTCCTAATCGAATTTTTATCTCTGGAGACCCTTGTCGTCAATGATCCGCGAATATGCTGTTAGAAAAGCAAATTAGTTAATTTTTCCATCTGGGGATTTCTGTAAGCAAATACATTCACATAGGGAGCACTTGAATCTTTCACAAACAAAGCGACAGAATTTCCTGATTAACACAATATGTGCATTGAATGATGTGATCGTTGATTGAGATTGGCAATCTTCGCAATAACAAAAAAGCAGTGAATAAATCTGGGCTTGCTTCGAGAAGATTTTCTTCACCATTCTAAAACGGACTCCACAAATCGGCAAGAAGTGACAAATGAATGACAGGTGCCAGATTGAGCCGAATTGTCACACTTACACTTAGATGAAGTCTCAAAATTCCTGCTGTTGCAGTGATGGTCAAGACTTTGCTTTCGATAAAAAGAGAAAAACGCTTCAAAGAGAAACTTCCAAATATTGCTCTTTTGTAATAACGGAAGAATCTGACAATGTCTAGAAGCTGCCATGGTCTCTTTTCTCGTACTTGTTAGCACAGCTGAAGACAGACAATCCACACATAAATCTGCGTGATTCTTTGATTATGTTAACACTACATCAATTTGTGGGGTCATCTTGTGTACAGTCAATTTTTCTCTCTGAGAGTAATTATTGTAAAGACAAAAATAGAATAGATAGTATTAGGTTGAACCGAAAGTTCTGTCGCACCATTTTGAAAAAATCATAACTTCTTTGCCTCACGACGATTTTGCGCAACTCAAAATTTTTCTGAAAGCGTAAAGCAAGTAGTTTCCAAAAGCTCCCTGGGGATTTTCCAATATGCTCAGATTGCAGAGATAAAAATGAGAGAACGAGATCATCCGAAATTCGGAATTTTTAAGCAAGAATTCTAGAAATTCAGAAACAGTGCGATAAAATCCAGAACAGCCATTAGCCTAAGTTTTCTTACATTTGATTACTATCTGAGTCAAGTTTGTGCAGATCGAGCTCTTCTTTCAAAAGTCGTGATTTTTGAAAAATAATACCGAAAAATCAATTTCCTAAGAATTCTTAAAAAATGGATTTTGTGGCATTTTTTTTCAAAAATTCATAACTTTTGAAAGAAGACCTCGATCAGCACAAACTTGACTCAGTTAGTAATCAAATGTAAGAAAAATTAGGATAATGGCTTTTCTGGATTTTATCGCACACTTCCTGAATTTTTAGAATTTTTGCTTAAAAATTCCGAATTTCGGATGATCTCGTTCTTTCATTTTTATCTCTGCAACCTGAGCATATTGGAAAATCCCAGGGAGCTTTTGGAAACTACTTGCTTTACGCTTTCAGAAATAATTTGAGTTGCGCAAAATCGTCGTGAGGCAAAGAAGTTATGATTTTTTCAAAATGGTGCGACAAAACTTTCGGTTTAACCTAATAAATTCGTGGATGACACTCACAATTTCCTAAAACTTGAGAAACATACACACTTAGGCCCGTATGCACTAACATTTCTGCGGCGAGGGGAGCGGCATCCCCCGTTATGAAGGGACCGCGTGCGGACGCCGCTGCGGCTTTTTCATCATTGGGGACGCCGCTCCCCTCGCCGCAGGGATGTTAGTGCATGCGGCCCTTAGACGCTTTTCTTCTGGATAAATGTGAGGTGTTTTTCTTGCGCCAGAATTTGCCTTCTGCGTCCAAAAACATGTTTTACATAACCTGGACAACATCCCCTTCTGGCACTTGAAAAAACAGCATTTCGGCACTGATTAGAGCAATTCAAAATGTAATTTCGCCTGTTTTTTGATTTTTTGATTTTAAAAGAAAGTAAACTGGATGTTTTCCCTACATACATAGAACGTATAAGCTGACAACGCAATCGTCTGCGAGTGCATTGCTATACAGTCAGTATTCCAGCTAACACCCCAAGTGGTACCTGCTCGATGTGAGCTTCCGCTCAGCCCCAATACAAGAATTTTCGGTCGAAGGGCACAAATCAGTGAAAGCGAGTATAGGGCATTCGAAAAATCATGACGATGGCGCGACCGCGCGCGACACGCACGCGCTTCCATTTCTTGGTTTCTATCTCTACTAAGGTGGTTTTTCTGCTTACATGTGTTAGTACTTAGACACTGGAAGTCACTGTGCTGAACGTTAAGTTGGTGCCTGTTTATATGGGTGTTTTATGCTCCTGTGTGCGCAAAGTCCGCAGTCAACTCATCGTCACGATTTTAAGAATGAGCCATACTTTGTGTTTTTTTAACTTCAGAAATCTCAGTCTCCCTTAAATTATAATAATTTCTTTTGTGACTTGATCGATCTCCTGAGGAATTCCAACATGATATGTGAAAGGTTGAGGATGCACGGACCCTAAAACAAGGGAACGCTCAAAGGCAGCGTACACCCAGAATTTTGTCTTTCATGTTTTTTTTGCGATTGGGCCTTTCCATTGGATTTCCCGTACTTGATTATGATTTGCAGAGGTTGCTAAAGCTGCTCGGACGCTGCAATTGAGTCACAATGAAACTTGATTTGACAGAGCATGTTGTTTGTGCAGCAGCGAACTATAGAAAAAAACGCAAGATCAGTGGGCTTGATAGAGGCGGTAATTTTTTTATAAAGATCTAAAAAGAATAATATGTCCTTTGTAAAGAGATGAAACTGTAATACAAAGGATACACATGTGACATTGTCCTACTAGAAGTGCGGCATGTTTTTTGTAGACTTGTGCACGGCGCTCCGATTTGTCCTATTATTGGTGGAAACTTTGTCAAATGAGATTGGGGTTGGTTTATAGCTTACAATTCTTACTCTCTACATATGTTTTGATTAATTCGTCCTATTTTTTCCAGTGGGTTTATGTAGTGAAAATAAAATGTGACAGCATGATAGTCGAAACACCGCTCCTTTATTATGGGCGCCATGGCCCCGGGAAGTATTAGTTTGCCAACATAAACTATGTTTGTAACATTGCTGGTTTTTGTTCTTCTTTCATTTTTGTTCTTTTTTCCTGCCCCGTTCAACTAACTTGTTTTCAAAAATCAAATCTGAACTTCGGTGCCTGAAGGAACAGTAGTTGTAAGTTCATAAAAGTTTTCTAACCCTACTACAGATAGGCTACTAACAAAAGAATGGTTAGAAGTCGAAGTGGCCAATTTAAGCAAGCTGTGAGCAGGGCTATATACTCAGAGGTGGCTTGTTTTTGCTTTTCAGTGACTGAGATTTTTCTAAGAAAGTTTGAATTAGTATCGTGAAAATAATTTTTTCTTTAGGGTTGTAGGCCCGGAAAAGCTTTAAAAACATCTCAAAACTTTTCCGGTTGTGGTAAAAGTTTTTCTAAAGTGCAGCAATTGCTATCACGATAATCTAGGCCCGTATGCACGTGCATCCCCGCGGGGAGGGGAGGGGATATGAGAGGGGAAGAGTCATATTTCGCTACTCTGTATACCTTTCTTCTTCCTTTTTTATATATGAAGGTTGATATGAAGGTTCACATACCCTGATACCTCCGCACAATAGATGCCAGGTTACTGCCATACAAGATTAGATTTTTACCAGTTTGGGTGATCCTCGGGGGATCCCCAGAGGACACCTCTCATTTTCGAAGTCATTTTTCTTTCTGAAAAACTCCGTTGAAATGCTGTAAAGTTGTACTGAGAGTACACTACGGACTGCTAAGCATGTTTTTGACAGAAGAGATGGAATTTGAAGATTATCAATTTTTCGATAATCTCTGGCTCGCGAGCAGCGGTTCATCGAAAATTTCGATATCCCAAGATTTTCTTATTTCTACTATAAACATCTTTGCTGTACCATACCTTCACCACAGCTGTACTATACCTTCAGCACAAATTTAGAACATTTTCATTGAATTTGTAGGAAGATAATTGACTTTGAATATGGGAGGTGATCCCTCGGGGATCCCCAATGGATCACACAAACTTGTGAAAATCTAATCTTGTATGGCAATAACCTGGCATCCATTATGCGCAGGTATTAGGGCATGAGAACCTTCAATCACAGATAAAGAAGGAAGACGAAAGATATACAGAGTAGCGAAATATGACGCTTCCCCTCTCAGATCCATCCCCTCCCCTCCCCGCGGGGATGTACGTGCATACGGGCCTCAGAATACAACGATAACATTAAGCACTTCAAAACCTTTGTGGATAACGCTGCAAATCTCACTTCTTTTAGATAATGGATCCTTCATCTTCGGAGTCTAAACTAACATCTGACTCACCCATCAGCAAGTTATTTCAAATTGATTATGAATGGAGGTGAGATGTTCTCCACAAAAAGAGCATTATTCGGCACCAATTCGGTTTCTAAGCTAATGTACGGCTAATTTTGCAATGGAATGGCAATTTTCGCCGTCTTAATCAAAGTGTGCTACAATGAATAGTCAAAGCAAAATTTAATTTGGATATTTTCAGACGCTCACATTGGTGATGTCTCTATGTAAACACACATTCCTTCAGTGGTGATAGCTTCTCAATTAAAACAGCTATTTGCAGCAGTGATTTCACAGACAATGTAGCAAACGAAAATGAATAGCCCTAGCATTGCCTAGCGTAATGCACGAAAACACGAGTTTTTTTTTATAAAGCAGAAGTCTAAACTACTGGCTGTTTCATGGGAAGTTTTATCTTGAGACAAAAGAATATGGGCGCTACCTCGTCATGCAAATTCTATCACCTTATTCCAAATAAAACGTCTTCTTCATTCAGACAGTAAGCTTTACATTCTCCCTTGTAGTCATGAAGCAATCGTTACCATTCTCAGACTTTACTCTCGCTCGAGCTTGTTTTTCGTGGAACCAAATCAGTAGGAGAACATGCGGTAAGATATGCTAATGCAAATCCTTCTGCTTATCTTCTGTCCAGTGAGCTATGCAGAGTTCAAGTATCTTTGGGAGACTTTAAACAGCTGGCACAAATTTTTATCACTGATCTGCATTACATTGAGCGATGAAAATGGCGCCATAGGAGAAAAATCATCCTTTGTGCAGTGTGTGCAGCTCCACAAACATAAAAGAATTCGAGAACACTGATCACTGTGTTCCAAATAATTCTAATTTCTATCTT